ACACTGAGGGTTGCGATCCTGTTACCGGTCAGTAAAAAAGAAAAAAAAAAAAAAGACAGGAGGTTAGAAATTAAGAAGGGAGGACTAATTTTAAGAATAATTTTCCTTGTGACTCACAATGTTTCCAAGATCCTTAGAGGTATATTTTAAGTTTAAAGCTAAAGCTGGAGTTTATGGGATATGTAAGACATTTAGCTTTTATGTGGAAAATTTGAAAGCATAAAGCTTAAGAATAATAACTTGTTTTGCATGTATAAGAGCTTCCTTTTTTAACATGAGAGTCTTTTAGTAATAAACAGTGCAAAAATCAGTGAACAATCTGCTTATTTTGGAGGATATTCTAATGCTAAATTTGTATATTACTAAGTAACCAACTGAAAACTGAATAATTAGGTCAAAAATCTAAATTCTGTCCTCCTGAGGCCATCATCTGGTTATTTATATACAGTCATGTTTTTTATGTAATTTCGAAGTTTTTATCAAAATATATGACAACCTGGATAGAAGGCTGGCCTTGGTGCCTACTGAACAGGGGTCACTTAATGAAGTGCACGGCTGCATGCGGTAGCAAAGATGCTTGTGCTAGTTGAAGCCTTCATCCATTTCCCATGAATAATTTGTCCTGTTGTACATCTGATTGACTTCAAAGCAGAGCAAAAAGATTAAATTAAAGAGAGCAGCTCTATATGAGCAGCTTCGTTTTAATGTACCGTATGAAAACAACCGGAACTAATCAATGCCGACATCACCAACCACAGACATCTGTGAGCAAATTAAGACTAATTGGGACCAAGTATGGAATGCAAAACATCTATGAACTATGGGAAGAAAGCCCTGTGCTGCAAAGGTTATAAACCAGGTTTGAAAGTCAATCATAATGAGAGAAATAGCCTGGCCATGTGTAGACCTAATCCCGTAAGAGTTTGCAGCAAGATGCTGCTTGTGTAATCTGCAGTCTGTGTAATGCTCGTGTTCCTTTCTCTTCTTTCTTTAACGGCCCAGCTGACAACGATTTAGAGTTTTATTGCCATCTTCTCAGAGGCAGCTTGAACCCAAAGGAATTTCCAACTTATGAATACATAAAATTTGTAGGAAACTTTCGCTCTTACAACAATGGTAAGCTTTAATTGTCATATAATTGCGACAGCATCTTTTATCATGCAAACATGCTCATGGGGGCATAAGAATCACCGAAGGAGGAGGAGGGAGAATTTTCAGATTTGCGTTTGGATTTGCATATTCCCAAGATGCAATTTTGTGCTCATCGATGCTCTCTCCCTTTCGAGAACACACTCCCACACCTGTTCGTGCCAGGGCACACAGTCCCACTGAAATGCATGTGATTCGTTTACTTATCTTCAGGCTTATGAAATGATTCTGTACTGGGAGAATCAACTTACAGTTAATAAAGAACAGGCGCGGCCTACGCACTCCATCAAATAGGTCTTCATTGTGACTTCAAGATCCGTAACCTTGCTTTCTGCGTTTTTATCCTCCTCTTCACTGTACTGCCGTGAGCATGCTTTAATAGCTCTGGTTCATGGCTCTTCGGCTTCCTGTGGCCCTAATGCACAGTAAAGGGCCCGTTTTACCATGAGCCAACAATCCACATCGGATTAATTATCAAGCAGGATAAGCCAAGCAGTCAAGTCTTATTACCCAGATAACAAATTACCCAAACTCTGGCTGCAGACTCATTTTTACTTTTGACCCATGCGAAATGGGGATGCAGCCTGATACCAGAGATTCAGAAACCAAGTCCCACCATGGCCAAGCACAGAATGGCCTGCATTTTGTTTGTCGTGCTCCTCAAAACTCAACACAAAACAAATCACATTTCATAAAACAGCAAAGATGGGGAAAAAATAGAAGAAAGTGTTGACAGGGACTGGGGAAAAGAGAGGAGGAGAAGAGAGAAAAATACCAAAGGGAAATAAAAACAGAAAGATGAGTTGCAGAAATGAGGGGGAGGGCAGGTGGGAGGTGCCCGGAGCAGAAGATCACAGCACTGACTTGGGCTGTGTTAGTTACTGCAGTTCAATTCTGGATCCACGGTGGGTCTATTACCCTAGTCAAGAGTTTCCATGAGAACCAGCTGCAGTAATGGCACTGAGTCCTATGCTGAGGCTAGCAAGGATTTTTCCTTCAACCTCAGATGATCCTTTGTTGTATGTTATTTGCGTAACTATACATGCTTTGTTTAAAAAGTTCCAGCTAGATGCTAAACAGCATGATCCTGCCAGAGTGACTTTCAAGTCCAGTGTTCAGGGCTTATGCCTGGATGCTGGGCTCCCTAGCTGAGTTGGAGTCCCTTCTGGGACCCAACCCATCCAGGGCTCAAGATGCCCGAGCAGATAGAATTGGTGGGAGGTTTGCTTTCCCAAGTGAGCCCCTAAATTTGGACAAAATAAGATTAAGCCAAGGCCTGACCATGTCTAATTCAACTCATTTGAAAGGCTTACCCAAACTTTATGAGATGAATTTTTAATGAACCACACAAAGATGTACATGGTAGCTCTTTGGGCTACCCAATTAAAGAAAGTGAACTAAGAAGGCACCTCGTAGAAAACCCAACATCATGCCAACCCTGTGCGGTGGTTCTTTGGGTGCAGCAGCTTGTTAAAATGCAGGTTTCTTAGGCCTTGCGCTAGAGATCCCAGGAGATCTGAGAGTAGGGCCCAGCAATGTTGGAAAGGACTAGGGTTCTGGTTAAGGCATCATACTTTGAAAAGCACTTCCCTAGTGTAATTCCCAATGCTATTCCGTATAGATTTTAATGGCACTATTTCCAGACAACTTTATCATCAAGTTAATATAAATGGCAGTTTGAAATTTGCTCAAAATGTGCATGCTAGTTTCTCAAAAAACTAAACATAGAACCATATGATCCAGCAGTTCCACTTCTGGGCATATACCCAAAAGAAGTGAAAGTAGGGTCTTGAGGAGATATTTGCACACCTGTGTTCATAGCAGCATTATGTGCAATAGCCAAAAGGAGGAAGCTACCCAAGTGTCCATCAGCAGATGACTGGATAAAGAAACTGCGATGTTATTAAGACTTAAAAAGGAAGGAAATTCTGACACATGCTGCAACATGGGAGAACTTTCAGGACATTATGCTAAATAAAATGAGCCAGTCACCAAAGGACAAATATTCCACTTATACGAGTACCTAGCGTAGTCACATTCATTGAGATGGAAAGTAGAAAGGTGGTTGCCAGGGGCTGGAGGGAGGAGAATGGAGAGTTGTTTAATGGATACAAAGTTTCCCTTTTGCAAAATGAAAAGAGTCCAGGAGACGGATTGCGGAGATGGTTGCACAGCAATGTGAACGTTCTTAACACTACTGCTGTGCACTTAAACGTGGTTAAGATGGTAGACTTTGTGTTATGTGTAGTTTACCACAATATTTTTAAAAACGCATGTGCTTTGTCCATAAAGCCAGCTGCTGGGATAGCAGCATGTCCCAAGTGGCCATGTGCACAGAGGGGAAGGCACCCTGTCCCCCAGAGTGCCAAGACTGGGGGAAGTATGGGATGCTGCTCCCCTGTGTCTCCATGACAACAGTGCACACAATTAAAAGAACTGACCTGTGATTGGCTGGGAACAGCAGTTGGAGCCTTTGTAAATTTACATTTCCACGACTCTAATGAAGATGCTGCCGAATATCACTTTGAAGCATCCTGTCATTTATCACATCTTAGGAGATTTCAAGGAAATAGGTAGGCCTCATTCTGAATACCTGAGATTTTTCTTTTTTTTAACTAGCGAGGCTCTATTTTCACTTCAAGTTGATACAGTGTTTGTTTGCCTGAAAGAATGTGTGAAAATTATGTGTGATTTTTTTTTGAAACTGTTACTGCTATAAACACACAGCCTTGAAAGTAGAAAATTTAAAATCAAGAGTGCAGAGTGTCTTTGCAGAGCCTGTTGTACAAGCTGAAGTTCGAGGGGCTTTCTTGAGACAAGAGCCCCCAAATGTAACCATGGAACACATGAGATACAAGCCTAAATTGGATTAAAATAGCAAAAAAAGTCAGAGACAAATGAATTCCTAAGATTGAACCCTATGAAATTGCCAACATTCTACCAGTTTTGACCCATAAAACATGATTTAGGGCCGGCCCGGTGGTACACTGCTACAGTGTGCCGCTTGCGAGCGCGGAGGCGCTCCCGCCGAGGGTTCGGATCCCACATACAGACCGGTTCCCGCTCACTGGCTGAGCGAGGTGCAGGCACAGCACCGAGGGTTGCAATCCCGTTGCCGGTCCTGGTCCGGTACGGGCGCGACACTGAGGGTTGCGATCCGTTGCCGGACACGAAAAAAGACAAAAAGGAAAAAAAAAAAAAGAAAATGTGATGATAACCCAAGCCACCCTTGCAACTTCCCTGAGTTCTCAGGTGTGCACAGACTGAAAAATTAATATGTAAAGTGCAGAAGAAAAATGACCACTCGCATCAGTTGTATTTAAATAGAATACATACTCACACCTCAAAGAACTACATAGAAAACCCAACTTTTGTCCATTACCATGGAAAGTCCTGGCATTTCTGTAGGGCTGTGTAGTTTATGGAATATTGCCTGATACATTCTTATTTGATGCCTGTTATTTTTTTTATAAAGAATGGAATGGAAAGGACAGAGACCTTTACTCGTCTGTGGACTCACCGCACCCCCTCCTGGGCCCAGCGTAGGCCATGCCTAGCAAATAAACAAGTGCGGATAGAAGTAGGTTGAACTAAACTGAGGCTCGGAGATCTTGGCCCCACACACAGAGCCAGGATTCAGTCCGAAGACTTCTGACTCCCAGGGAAATAATGCTCCTCCATGGGAGCTAACGGAGCTCTCCTTGACAAGCTCCAAGGAACGCTCCAGGAGGGCTCCCCACACTTCTTTGGCCTTACATCCAAAGTGCAGGTTAAATACATGTCAGTATATGCTGGGTGAACTGGAGGGTGTAACTTGTGGCACCTTGTAAATCGTCTACACAGAAGGCCTCCAATGCAACAGTGTGTTGTTAAGGAAGTTCATCTTTGGCCTCCCTTCACTCCACATTCTGTGCCCCACCTTGGTTCCCTGGGTGTCTTGAGCCCAGCAGCCCCCTTCCCTGATGTCCCTGCCCCGACCCCTCACCCAGGGGTGCCCCCGCTGGGCCATTTCTGACACACTCTCTTCCACCTAGAGCTCATCTCATCAACCGATTGGCCCTCAGCTGATAGAGGCACTGGGCTACTACTCAAAAATCCATTTACAGGGACCCTCGGACCCTAAACCAAAGGACCTGAAATGAAATGTGTAGCCTCCAAGGCAGGGAAAAGGTGGGACTGGCCAGAGAGCTCTTTGGGAACCCTTAGATCGTGTAGCTGAGGGTCCCATCTGCTTGCCTGCTAACCCAGATGGCTGCTCTGACCAGTGATTCGTGGGGCTCTAACCAGTGTGAGTGGGGCTCTAACAAGTGGGAGTGGGCTGAGCGAGGTGGAGATGGGGAGAGGAGGGACGGGAGCACCTCTGCCCTTGACAACGAGATCACGCTGTCATCAGACGCTTCTGGCCTCACCAGTGGTTTTGCCCCTTTACCTCTGCCCTGGTCACTGGGGCAGTGTAAACATAGCCACCATTGCCCAAATACCTGAGCAAAATGGACTTTTCCCCTGGTTCAGTATTTGCACATTTGGGGCACTCATTAGGACTTCGCCATCTGCAACAGATGTTGTAGGAGCCGGGGGGTGGGGCGGGTGGAAGACAGCACTTCACATCTTTAACCTACATTTTTAATAACTGTGAAGAAATATGTGTTGGGAAATAGGACAAGAAAAGAGTCTTTTTTAGGTCTTCCACTTGAGGACAGATTGGAACCCAGTGTGTGAGACGCTTCCTGGAGGACTTGGAGCTGGGACACGTGGGCGCGTGTCTCCTCCTCTCCGCGTGGAAAGCTGCTCTGATCCGGGGCCGGGGGCGGCACGGGCAGCCCTTGTCTTCCTCTGCTCTGCACAGTGACTGTTCCAGAGCAGAGCTGAAACTAAATTACTTCATTCGGGGCTATGTGTGTCCTGTAACAGATATTTTTAAAACCAGAGAGAGAGAGAGAGATTCTTTGGGACAGATACACTGTCCC